CGCTGCTGCCGCTCTAGCCCACAGGCTTGATGCCTTGCGAGTTCCACCTAATTCTGAACACAACCAGCCTGCTCTTTCGTCGCCTGGGGTTGGCCATTTTGATGCTGAACGTCTGAGACCGGCGCTAGCGCCTGCTAGCCTCATTGCACCTGATGCGGGCCCGTTGCCGCATGAACAAGCATGCAGTGTGGCGAGCCAGGCCCCTGGAGCTGCAGCTGAGGCGCGGCCCGCTTTTCACGCGGATGAGGAGGGCACGCCGCGGTCCGCCCCTACTACAGTCGCGGAGCCCGCTTCCGGCGAGGAGGCTGCCCCCGATCCTTTTGTGCAGGCGTCTCGGGCAGCCGCAAGAGCACGGGGCCGTGGCCGTCGTGGGGGCACCACCTGGAGTCGACACTGCAAGGCCAGCACAGATCCCTGATGAGGGGCCACCTGAAACGCGAGCCATCCGCTGAAGCAAGCTTCCAAACAGGGTTGCTTGCGCTTGATGTTGTCTCGCTTGAGCATCACTTTCGGCAGAGGGTGCTGACCTTGCAGGGAGTCCCTGCGCGCCTCCGTGGAACGCTCTGCGCCGCTATGCGAGCATCCCCGGCTCGCTGTGGAGGGAACTGCCCCAGAAGACGCAGAGCGCGTCCTGAGGAACCTGATCGCCGGGGCAGTCTATTCCAGCAGGGGTTGTGGCCTCAGCTCCTCGCGGACGCATCACGAGCAGCGCCCGCCCACCCGCGCAATGGATCCCCCCATGCCAACCGATGCGGCCAGGGCCGCCCGGGCTGCTGCACTCGTTCACCTTGGTGAGCTTTCCGCCGCCGGGCGTGCGCTAGTCTGCGAGCCACTTGCGCCCGGCGACGAGGCCACGCTCGCTGAGCTACGTGATCCCGCCCGACGCCCATCTGAGCCGTATGGTCCGGTCGCTCGCGAAGTGCTTGAATTCCCGCCGGAAGTCTGCCCGCTTCCCCTCGCTGCCTTCGTCGAGGGCCTGCGGGGCGCCAGGCGTGGATCTGCGGCAGGGCCTTCGGGCGCCACTAACGAGCATTTGCGCATCCTGCTTGACGATGAGGAGGAGGACACCTTACGTCTGCATGCGGCTGCCGAGCGGATTGCGAGGGCTGAGCTCCCGCCACCCGTCCTGGCTGCGTTACGTGTTGGCCGGATCGTTGCCTTGCGCAAGCCAAGCGGAGTGGTCAGAGCCCTCGTAATCGGGGACGTGCTGCGGCGCTTGGACGGGTCCTGGCCCAGACCTTCTCTGCCCAGCTGCAGCAAGCTTGTCTTCCCTTCCAGTTTGGGCTCAGCACGTGAGCTGGAACTGAGGCGCTTGCCCGCGTCCTACGCGCAGCAACCGAAGTTGATCCTCGTGCCACGGTCTTGTCGGTCGATGCAGTTGGGGCCTTTGACCACGTGTCCAGGGCTGCAATGCTGGCGGCGTTGCATGCGCAGCCGGCGCTGCAGCCTCTGCTCCCATATGCCCGTCAATTCTTCACTACGGTTAGCCACTACGTGTGGACGGATGACCAGGGACGCAGCCACGAGGTATGCCAGGCTGAGGGCGGCGAGCAGGGGGACCCCCTCATGCCTGGCCTGTACTCCTTGGCCGCACATGGTGCCTTGCAAGCTGTCCAAGCACAGCTCCAGGACGGCGAAGCTGTTTTGCTTTCCTGGACGACATCTACGTCGTTGCTGCGCCTGAACGGGTCCGCCAGCTGTACGGCCAAGTCGAAGTCGCCCTGTGGGAGCATGCGCGCGTCCGCCTCAACCGCTCCAAAACCAAGGCCTGGAACGCTGCTGGCGAGGAACCGCGGGGCATCAGGGACCTCCAGCCCGAGGGCGGCGACCCGGTCTGGGTCGGGGATTGGGCCTTGCCGGCCCCAAGATCAGCAGGGCCTCGTCGCACTGGGCACACCGCTCGGAACCAATGCCTTCGTGCAGCGTCAATTCCGCATCAAACGCGTTGCCCAGGACCGGTTGCTTGAGCGCATCCCTCAAGTCGAGGATCTCCAAGCTTCGGTTGCTTTTGCGCTACTGCGCTGCGCCGAGGGCTAATTACTTGTTGCGAGTGCTGCCGCCCGCGCTCAGCGAGGAGTACGCTGCCGATCACGAAGCAGCTGTCGCCCGAAGCTTGGCCCAGCTTCTCGGCTATGCGGACGCCCCGCTGCCAGAAGACGCCATCAGTGCGGCACAGCTCGCGGCGCGGTTTGGAGGTCTAGGCCTGCGTTGTGCGAGGGCCGACCGGCATGCAGCACAGACTGGGCATCCTGGTGCGACGCGCTCCCTGTAGTTCGCGACCGCACGCCTGAGGTCGCGCAGCGCATCTTGCACGCACTGCACGCACCCGAGGCCGAGCTGACTCCGGCATTGCGAGCCGCGCAGCACGCAGCGGTCTACCTACGTGCACAAGGCTTTGAGGTCCCGTCCTGGGAAACCGCTGCTGGTCCGGCTGGGCCTCCACCCCATGCACCGCGCGGTGATGAGCCCGCCGATCACTTGCGTGGATGGCAGCGGCACGCGGCTTCTGCCTGCGATGAGCGCGGGCTCGAGACGCACCTTTCTCACCTGTCACCCGCGTCCCGAGCGCTGCTGCTATCGCAGGCTGGCCCACATTCCTCACGTGCCGTCAACGTCCTGCCCACACACGAGGAGCTCATCATCCCCAGTGCACAGTTCCGAGTGTTCCTGCTGAATAGGCTGCGCCTGCCCCTCCCGCTAGCGCCAAGGCATTGCCGCTGCCACGGCCACCTTGACGCCTTGGGCGACCATCGCGCAGCCTGCGCTACTGCGGGGGTGCTGCCGGCCCGGGCAATCCCACTTGAGAGGGCGCTGGCCCGTGTCTGCCGCGAGGCAGGGGCCCGTGTCGCCCAGAACCGTCTGGCCGACATGAACGTCGATGCCCCGGTGCGAGACGCCAGGCGCATCGAGGTAGTGTGCAACGGCTTGCTTTGGCATGGCGCGCAACTCGCCGTCGATGCCACCATCGTTAGCCCCGTTACCAGGGCCGGAGAGGCGCGGGCCAATGCTGATGCCCGGCCAGGTTTGGCCCTCGACCAAGCCGCCCAGCGCANNCCGCCACACCTACCCTGAGTTGGAACAGGCGCGCCGATGCCGCCTCGTTGTTTTCGGGGTCGAGGTCGGTGGCCGCTGGTCGCGTGAGGCAGCCCAGTTCGTCCTACATGGGGGACCGGGGCTCGGGACTGACTGCGGAAAAATGTGCGTTAAAAAAAAAAAAAACCGTTGGTCGGGTGGTAACAAAGGGATGCTGGCCGCAGCGGGCACGATTTGTTTTCACGCGAAGCCGTGCGGTTCAGACCGCCGCCTTCCAAAGCTTCGGCCTTGTCTTCACAGGTAGTTGCCTTCCACGCGCCAGCCCGTTACGTATTTTGGTGGGCAATCGCCCATGCATTTCAAGTGCAGCTACAAACGTGGATGTGTTCACTTCAAGCTTGCAATCCTTGAACGCAGCTCGAGCGTAGTTATACAGAAGCGCATTCAGCTTGTCTATGGCCGTGAAGCGTCGAATTATGGAAAAGATGACGCCCCGCAAGCTTCCTGCGACACCTGCCCCTGTTAGCGCTGGCACACGTTAACGCTTTGGGTTGTTGCGAATTGGCGCACCTCAACGCAATTGTGACAGAACCTACCTAGGTGATATCAGCCACAAAAATCTTGCGGGTCGGGGCAGACGTGTAATTACGAGAAAGCAGTCGCAGCAAAGAGGGTTTTGCCACGTAGCTGTCCGTTGAGCGACTCCAATGGTCTGGCCGCTTGCGCCCTTCAGCCGGTACAGCCGACGTTGCGTCAGCACGGGCCGGGTCGACAGTGTGTTTCGAGCTTGGCATATGCGCGTGCCGAGCATTGCCAGGTTGGTGCCTGCGACGTCTGAGATTTTCGACGTTGCCTGATGGGTGGCAGGCATGTCCGACCCGCCTTGTGCCTTGCGCGTGAGCACACTTTGCAGGAGTTTTACAGCGAAAAGTTGCTTGGCAGCAAGCTCCGTTTCTCGCTGGCGTGTTTGCGCTGATGTAATGCTTCTCACGAGACATGCATCGAAGGCATCGTCGCCCATATTTCTGGCGGGCAGCAGCATGAACGCTTAAGCCGCAAAATCACACAGTGTGAGGTTTCGTAGACGTTGGTCCCAAGTTGCGCAGGCACCAAAACAGCAGCACTTCGCAATGGCAAAGGCCCGGCGTCAGCCAGGCGTGATGCTATTGGTTCCACGCTTCTGTGTCAGTTATCATGGTGCGAACGCAAGGCAGCAGAATTGCCACCGAATTGGGAAGAGGTTTTTGACAAGGCCGCAAGGATGTTTTTCTATATTTTTTTCTTCGCATGTTGTTGGAGGCCGCCGATCATATTCCCATTTTGTTGTCGGACATTTGCCGATCTGTGCCCACGTCCTGATGTCAGGAGTGCCGGAAGAATTACTTCTGGCATCGACTTACAGGCAGAACGCAGTGGCAACGTCCGAGTGCGCAAGAGCCGGGAACGGCCCAGGCGCCAGCGTGTTCCATACAACTGTCACTCCTACTTTGATACCAAAGAGAATTGTAAGCGCTAGCGCGCATTCGCCTCGGTAGCCGGGCTGGCAAGGAGGCGGAGACGCCGCAAAGCAAGGAAGCGTAAAGTGGGAAGAGTTTGGGGAGTGCGGGGAAGAGAGGGGGAAATGGCTGGATGTTGGTGAGCTTGTTCCACAGGCTTTTTGGCCAGAGGCCAATTCGAATTATTGCTTGTTTGTTGGATGAGCGAGACGATGTACAGCATGCGTGGAAAATAGATGATGGATGTGCCCAGGTTGCACCTGAGCCGGTCGGAATTGGAATTGCAGATGGTGTTCTACCTGATGGCTGGGAGCGCGCATTTAGCCAGGCCAGCGTTCCAGAAGGACAAAACAGTCGAAACATTGTCGAAACATGCATTTACAGCTACCGCGTTTTGGGCAGGCGCACAACAGATGCTATTATTGGCACCGGTCCAGCAGAAGGGTGCAATGGCTGCACCCAGACCATCAGATGACTGAGAGCTTCCTGAACTTTGGCGTTCAACCAACTCAGGAGGCAGGGAGTCTGAATGTCATGTTGGGCGCTGTGGTTTTTGTGATCGCATGCCCACAGGCATCTCATCTGAAAGTTGTGGGGTAATTTAGTGTTAAACGAAATAATTTTGACATGAGCAAGTATGTTCGCCATGTCCGCAAGGTCTCAGTGCTGTCAAATATCAATTCAGCCATATGTCAAACTGAAGACATGACTTGGTCTGATCTGTCAGGAAATTTCAAGCATGTCATCTACCACATTGGCTGTTGGAGACACAGATGGGGCGTCCGACGCACCATCTCGAATGGATGGTTGGCAGGCATGCAATCAAGCATGTGCCGCAGCAGGAAACTTATTGCCGGCATGTGCCGACTCAAGATTGCAGGTTGTGTGGAGCAAGGAGCATGGCAGGAATTACTATTGGCCGGTAGCCCAACGTGATCGGACGTGGTGCAGGTTTGCCGGGCCAAGCTCCGGATGCCAAGGCATGTGGCTTCGGGACGGACTGCGTGGGAGCGGCCTTCCGAGTTGGATGACAAAGGCGCAGATAAACATCGGGCAATGATCAAAGTCTTCCTTACCCTGCGTTGCCAGTGTTCAGGCTTGCTGCGGCTGCAGAACCTATTAAAAGCTTGGCGGGGCATCCTTCATGGGGCCGGGTACGTCACGTTTTCATTTGGTCATGTTACCACGTTGGGAACAGCAAGCCGAGCAGTTGCGCTTGCATCAGGCAGAAGTGGGCCAGGACTTTCAATCAACAGGATTGTGATAACCGTACTTGCTCTAGCATGGCAAGCCTCAGGAAATCCAGGACGTGAATGCGCTGCATACAATCAAGGCGGCGAGTATGGCATTGTTTGTCACGACCGGCATCAGTTTTGGCATGTTGCGCGCAACGTTGTGATGGAGGACTTGTTGGCTCATCATCCAGATGCCACAAGCAAAGTCGGCGTGGGCTTGCGAAGCGTGAAGGCGCAAGTCGTTGTGTCATGGCTGTTCCTGAAGCAGTGGCCCAATGTTGGATCATCAATTAGCACTTTCAAGTCAGAGCTGCGTTCAGGAGGAGTGCGGCTGAGGGAAAACCCATTGTTGCAGCGTGCTGCAACACTTGGTCCGTTGTGTTCAGTTTGAGGTGAAATGTGGTGGACTGTCCTAGAAGATGTGTCGCAATTTCAATCATTTCAGAAAGGGCCCTGGCCAATGTGGCCATTGCACCTTGTGTTAAACAGTTCGTGATGAAAGTACCAAAATTCTCGGTGCTAGGTGATCTGTATTGGCCAAGCCGGCCCAAATATGACAGATTGGCACATGATGCGGTGCGCAGGTCGACATGGCCCCTCCACCAAATCAAAAGCACCGGTGCTTTTGGGTGATCCGACTGGATGGCTCGCAGGTGTGGTTGCTGCCAATGAGGCAGTTACGCGCACGTGATGTTCGTGTACAGTTGGCAGGAAGATTTCTCGGCAAGGAAGTGCTGCAGCGTGATCCGTGAAAAACTCAGTTTTCCAGCATTGTCGCAGCCAGAGTAGAACAGGGGCACTCACTTGATGTCGTTATGATGGAAGTGGCGTCGCAGGTGGCAAGTTGAAAGAAAGAGAACAAGTTTCATAGCAGCTCAAGAAGGAATGACGCGTGAGATGAGTCACACGCTGCGCGCGCTACATGGAAGAAGGCACGCCGACCTGTTGTCCTGCCATGTTCATGATCATTGCCCAGGGTTTCCGCTCCATGGCATTTCCTGTCGACATGTCCTGTCGGGATGACGGTTCGAGCCCGCATTTGAATCGAACAAACACAACCAGAACATCAGTCCGGAGAAGAGGGAAATTGTTTCAGTGGGCTATCTAGAGAGTGTTGGTGGTGTCAGATTGAGTTTGCAAGAAAAGCATGATAGCCAGCCCATAGCCCTCTTGCGCAAATGGCTGCCGGATGGGGAGGAGGCTGTGCTGTATGAGCTTCGGGTGCGCTAAATGCGGGCGAGTGCCATGCACACTTGAGATGTTCACAGCTGAAACGCAACAGATGAAGCAGCACTGGGCTGATAGAAGACCCGCTAGGTGCCAGACAACGTGGTTCAGATTTGGTGAAGTGATCAAAGGTTTTTGTTGCAGAGCGCGTTTGCTCCAGAGTTCAAACGCGCGGCTAGGCTGGAGCTACTCTCCTGGTTGGGGCTCACGGTGGTGGGATCAGGCCTCCTGGCAACAGGAAGACTGAATTCACGATGCTTGCCAAAGTGCGCAGGGCTCGTGGTGGCATGGCGCCCGCCTCAGGATTTTAATCAGCGAGCTGTGCAGCGACAAGCTTGCGAGCACACTGCTGGGTCAAACGCCTAGGTTTTTGCTACCCAACCTCCCCCTTTTAAATCCTGCTGTGCTACCCTGCGAGTGTCCCATGATCAGTGACGCCAGGTGCAGAGTCATCAAAGACCACAGATTGTAGTGTCGGTAGTGTGGCAAATTACCTGAATTTCAAAGGGAGCCAGGCGGTCCGCCTTGAGAGGAGAGAGGGAAAAAGAACAATGACAAAGAGGATGGTAGAGACATAAGGAAAGGGTTCAAAGATGTTCAAATTAGATCTTAAGAGTCCAGGCTCTTTTCATTTGTTCGAGAAAGAAGCCATCAGTGTGTGCAAGGACGCTGGAGCCAAGAAGAGAAAGTGCCTTGGGAGAAACCCGAGGTGCCGACAGAGGAGCCCAAGTTGGAAGAACCAGAAAGGCCAAGTGATAGAAGCGACAGGCCAAGTGACGACGGAGGATGGGTCTGGAGCGGCTGGAGCTCCAGTTGGTATGGAAATGGAAGGCCATGGTCCAGTTGGTCGTCCTATCCTTATGGATACGGCTATGGCGGCTACGGCTACTCTGGCTATTCCAGCTGGGATGAAAGATGGGCAAGACCCGATGCACCTGAAGCGAAGCAGGATGATAGCCAGAACCGCCAAGAACGATGGAGCCAAGCCTTTTTGAAAGACAGGCAAGAACTTCAGGAAGGAGCCTGGTGGAAGAGCGAACGGGACGAACGATCCAAGGAAAACATAGCTTCCGAAGCTAGGCAAGCTGAGGAAGGAAGCCAAGAGCCAAAGTGGGTGCCGATAGCTGCTTCAAGTGGACTGGAAACAAGCTCAGCCACCGGAACACCACAGGCGCTGCAGAGTTGCAAAGCGACATGGAATTTTGCAGCAGCATCTTCTGTCGCAGTTCGCATTCTTGAGCGTCAGCCTGTCTGGATAGCAAAGGGTTGCGGCAGGAGCCCCCCGTTGGATCGGTCGGCGAGCCCAAGATCGGTCCTGTCGCCAATTCTCAAAACAAGGCGTGGCACTCAACGCAAGAGAGCAACAAAAAGCTTGCGCTTAGACGCAGGAACGTGAGTACCATGACAGCTCAGGAGATCGAGCAGCCATCCCATCAAAATGAGGAATGGTACCAGAAGTGGCTGCGCCGACAACAGGAGAAAGAGGCAAACAGCGTCTCGCACTTCCAGCATGCACTCTTTGCGCTTGCGTTGAGTTGTTCGTGAATTATCTTGACACCAAGGCACCCAAACCGCAGTACCACAGGCTGAGAGCTTCGTAACGAAGGCCAAGAAGGTCGAAGTGTATGAGGCGCCGAGTGGATCCCCCGATAAACCTGATTGGATTGCGGATGCGAGCCAGCCAGCCATCCAACTCAGTCTTGGTTGGCCTGTAGATTGGCACCAATTTGAGCCAGTTGAGCTTTCCAACACGACATGAAACCAGTGTGAACCCCCTGAGGGCTTTCTCATTCATGAGCTGCAAGCTTCCGTGCAAGCGATGCCCAAGGCGCAAGTGCCGGAAGCTGTCGCCGATCCCGACACTCAGCCTGCTCCTTTAGACCAGGCAAGCAAAAGGGTCTTGAATGTGAGTGTTATTTTACCTTGGATGCTGGCATTGCAATCATTTGGTTGAACAAATGATTGTCAAGACTGTGCATCTTGATTACAAGCTCTGTCCTTCGGAAAGCAGCCCATTCATTGATGTCATGTCAACAGGTACAACACAATTCTTAGCTACGCATCAAACTGACTAGCAGGAGATGTCCCTTCACTCGATTCCGGAGCCAGAGGGGCAGCCAGTGCGGCATCCTCACGAGAATGAGGAGTGGTATCAAAAATGGTTGCGGCGGCAGAAGAACCAGCCATCGCATGTGATAGACATTGGTTGGACTAGCCTGTATTTGCGCTTTCATACCCTGTGTCCTCACACTTGGCTGTATTGCTGGCGGGCATGGCAGGTGCTCCCCAGCCTCAAGCTTCCACCCAAGCGGCGGCAAGCAGCTCCAGTGATCCCCAGGTCTCATCCGCAGAGGCCCAGGATTTGTTACTGGCTATGGCGGGCAGCCTCTTCCGGACAGGTAAGGTTAGGTTAAGCGTTTGGCTGTTGGGAGACACCTTTGTCGGTTTGATATGCTTGTGAAGAGCATGGCAGCACTAAGCATCACGCCTTTAACAAGTGCTAGATGCCGGCTTGAGCAAGTTTGTAGGCAGTCCCTACGAGCAGCGCAGAAGATCCCTGGCGTTCATAACAGGCCGATTCTTCTGCGGACCCGCGCCTCGCTCTGC